CCAACAAGAGGGGTAGTACAGGACCTTCTTTGCGCGGGTTAAGGCCTCTAAGGCGGAACGCTCCCCTACCTCCTTTATCACTGAGCGGTCATTTAGGGGCCTTAGCTGGTGATCCGAGTTGTTTCCCTCTCGACGATGAAGCTTAACCCCCATCGTCTTACTGGGCGACCTTGACCCCTGTTTGGGGTCATATCTAGTATTCAGAGTTTGCCTCGATTTGGTACCGCTCTCGCGGCCCGCACCACGTAAAAACTTATGATGTCGCCGCTGATTATTTTATTTTATTTGTGTATGTTGAATTTTCATGCAACGCTAAGATGATAGTACATTACTTTACCGCCGTGATTTTTCTAACACTAATCATAAATATGTTTAAAATTTTTAAAATTATAAAATTTTGTCCTGCAATAAATTATCTTAAAGTTTGTATTTAAAAAAAAACAATGGTATGATAATATGATCATCCCGCAAATAAAGGGTCATATGTGAAACATAATTTGGTGGGCTTTGATATTATATATTTAAATTTGGCAAAACTCTAGAATGTTAAGTATATTATTTAAGTTGTTATAAATAACATTTGTTGGTATCATCCTTTTTTTTATATTATTAAGCAACAACTTTTCCAATAGTTGAATGAAGAAATCTTAATTAAACAACGATTAGTAAGGGCTTATCTTATTCATTTGTGATGTCATTTCCATTAACAAGTTCTCATTAAAAAATTATTGTTATAAATTCATCTAATACCGAATATTTAAGTGTTATGGCATTTATATGTAAAAGCTTAAATATTAGATATGTAAATAGAGAGGAATTGTATGGTATGTATGTAAATCCCCCTTTTATATTTTTTTTGGTAAAATTACATTCTCATCCTTAGTCCTTACCTTTATGTAATGTAAAAAATTTTATGTTTTATAAGAAGATATATTTGTTTAGTAAAAACTTATTAGTATCTCTTCTTTTCAAGAGGGAGATAAATAATAAAAATAATAACAAGTTGTTGGTTATGCTGTCAAAGTGTGAGTTAAATATTTGAATATTGAGTGACATTTGACGAATATAATGTTTATTGTACTTAAAAATACTATAAAAATGTGATACAAATGGAATTTATTATTGATATAGTGTAATTGTCCAAATTGTTGTTTACATGGCTTGAACTCTTACCCATTGAGATATTGTATGCTTTGACCTAAGGATCTCCAATTTTTGTCTCATTGGTTTAGCTTCCCAGAATATCACCCATCTCGCTGGTGTTTTTCGCTTAACTGTAGAGTTTTTTGGTGAAATTCCAACAATTACACTAGAAAGTGTCTCTTTAGATTCATTATACTTGAGGAGTTTGACAATCTCCCACATTTAAGTAATTGAAGTCCTTGTCAGTTTTCATAACTTATAGTCATGCATCTAGTAGATATTTCTATCTTCAAACCATTGCACTGCTTTGATAACACCATTTAAACAACCCAAACTCTCATCCATTGAGATATTGTTTACTTTGACATAATGGTCGCTTATCTTATTGGCATAAATTTTTAAGAGGTTAGTCGTTTTATGAGTGCTCCCGCATAAGCACACTTAAATTTGAAGTTTCTGATGAAATTCCAACACTACAGGAATTAAGCATATTTGTGTGGAATATATCTGACGCAGATCGGACGCAAACCCGATGTTATTTAAGTGTTACCGGTGCATTTGCATCTGATATACGTCTGATTTTTTCCGACGTTAAACTTGGGATCGGTAATGTTATTTCCGTCAAATGTACATCAAAATTTTTAACACAAATAATTTACATTGATTTTTGCGTTGTATTAGCGTCAGATTTATTTATACCTAATGGGCGTCGAAATTTGCATCAGAAATTATTATACAATGACAATTTGTGTCAGATAATCGTCTCTGTTAAAATTTAAAATAATGCGAAATATTTTTTTTTATTTCGTTGTTATGAACGAGGATATAAATAACCCTTAAAAGAATCTTATAATAAGAAAAATAATAAAAATGAATGATATATCACATAATATTTCCAATAATTAATTCATATTAATTATTAGGAGATATAAAAAATAATATAAAATAGAAAAACAAATAATTCTTAATCAAAGAAAATAAATATAACATAGGAAATGAAATATCTCCTTATATCAAGGAAATAATTTATTCTTCATAACTTCTTATAGGAATAATTTTTTTCCTATTATAATTCTTAACACTTCTCCTCAAGTTTGGAATATATGTTAATAATTCCAAACTTTCTGAGTAGTGAAGAAAAATTAGTCGTTTGGATTATCAAATTTGCTAGATTCAGGCTTGGCTGGATTTTGAGTTTTGTTTATCATATATTTCGGCGTATAAGGAAGATTAAGACTTGGCTGAATTTGTTGGATTCATGCTTGGCTGAATTTTGAGTTTTGACTGTCATATGCTTCGGCATAGAAGAGAGATTCAGACTTGTCTAAATTTGTTGGATTAAGGTTTGGCTAAATTTTGAGTTTTGTAGGGAAAGAGATAATCTACAGGAAAACTGACTTTTAGTTGACCGTGGTTGTCGTTGCTTGCAGAAAAAAAAAACATGTAAATCGCACCCAATAAATTTTGCTAACAGAGAAAGCAGCAGAAGAAATGACGGTTGGAAAACAAAGCTCCCCTTAACGCTTGGGTCAGGGAAGAAGAAAAAAAATACAGCAGGAGGAAGGGTCGGCGATGGATTTTGTCGTCATTGTTCGATCCACGACAGTGATATCTCTGGTGAGATGATGACGAAGCGGGTGCCGACATCGATGGTGTCGCCGTGACTGGAGCCCCATCGTTGGTGCCGGCATAGGAAGATACAATGCAGGAAGTTTTTAGATGTTTTGTGGTGATGTCTGGCCAAACTCCAAAGCATCTTTGGTATCATAGTTTATTGGGAGTCGCGCACAGAAGTGAAGTAAAATCCCCCAATTTTCTGAAAGACCTCGGAGAAGAAGAATCCTCCAAAACATCGGCCCATACATTTCTAAGCGATGGCGGTGACAACAAGCTTCTAGTCGGATTCAAAAAGTTAGGAGTGCGATGCAGATGGTTCTTCCCCATCATCGACTGCGGTATGCTGACTGGAGGAGTCTCTGATCGCAATCTAGCATGCATAGCATTAGTCGCATTGGTAGGCAGAGAAGGAGTAGGAGACGCCGAGAACGGAGTCGAGAGCCGATGCTCCTCAAAATTGAAGCTACCCTTCCTATGGTCAGATATGTATCCAATTAAATCTCTTCGTGAAACACGATTAATGGGTGAAAATCGATAACTTGGTGAAAAGCTACGGTGCTGAGGGGGGCTAACATAGCCCTTGTGAGGGTTGCGACTTGATCTATATGGTTCATCATATCACTACTTGCGGCAATTGTTACAATAAGTTCGTCGTGCAAAATTTAGATTTCCGCACGACGGATTCTGACATATCTAGTCACATTCCCTTGGTGACAAATTTCGATCATTTATGTGGACGAACTCTCCTCCATGCGAGGACATTATATGTGTGGTTGAATCGATCCCTCTCGTGTATGGTCTGTCGCCCCTCCCAAATGTAGGGGTAAGAAGTCGCGAAACTTGCCACCTCCTCCTCTCCCTCGCATTCCATGACATGAACGTGGTCTACAACGGTGCATAAAATATGGTTCAAAATAACCATCATCCACCATTGGCCGGTGCGGCGATGAAATAAAACTTGGACATTGTATGTGCCCTGGATCATTCTGAAACCTTTGAGACCCTAGATGAAACATCAGAGGGGACCCGTACCGTCGAAGACCAATCGCAGAACCACAACGTTG